ACTTTTTTTGTATGGGATATTTGATTACAATAATTTATTTATATCATATAAAATTACAATTCTAAGGAGCAAAAAAGACATTGAACAAGATCACACAAGTTTACCATATTCAATCATGACTAGTGAAATGGTAATATATATCATGCAATTTATTTATTTTGATATGAATTGAGAAATTTGTTTTCTTGCTCATAGCATCTTATTTCTTTAATAGGCTACCCCTACTCACTATATAGCAACTCAACATGACACTTGGGCAAATTCCATATTTTCTGAACCATCATAAGTTTATCATACAAGTATTCTTGTATTTTATTATATAATTGCTTACTATAGTGGATGCTTAGCTAACTTTTAATGTTATAATAAAAGTATCAAGAATTTGGGATAATGTCGGCTAGCGATAGAAGCTTTGATCTCAATCACTAAAAATATAGTAGTAGGTAAAACTAATTTTTATAGGCCACATTTGTTAAACGAAGCAAGGCTTTAAAATATGACTTGTTTTTATTTATGAGTTTGTGGAATTACAATACAGGTTTGTTGTTTTTGAGAACTTTGTTGTGAAGGGTACAATGTGAGAAACTAGACACGTGCATAGGAGCCATGGTCAAAAATCACCTTGGATTAATTTTTTGTTGTAACTAACTTTTGTTTTCAGAAGGCTTAATCCAATTTAGATTTTGAAGAATTGTCATTTGATTTGTCCTTTTAGATATTTGTTTCTCTTCTTTTAATTTATATATAAAACTTTGATGTATGCCTCCAATATAGTATGCATAATGGATGTTTTGAGAAGGCTTAATCCACTTTAGTCCCAACCTAGATTCAACCTCAGTTATTATTACTGTTGTAGATGAAATTAATGATGACTTGTATTACTTTCACTAATAGAAAAGTGTCATTTTCTTGCAAATATTTCTACAAAAAAATATTCGCAATTTTTTTTTGCGAATTTTCTTGCAATAATAATTTCACAAATTTTTGTACGAATTTATTTGCAAAAATTAATTTACAAATATTTCTTACAAATTTTTTTATAAAAAATAATCTACAAGAAATTTTTGCAAATTTTGCTACAATTTTAATGATCATAGAAATTTTTTTCAAGAATTTTATTTTATTTCTTGCAGATTTTCTTGCAAAAATAAATTCGCAAGTAATGTTATGTTAATGGTAGAAAAATTTTGCAAGTAACTTTTTCTACAGATTTTCCTGCCAATTTTAATCCGTGAGAAAAATCAAAAAAATATTTAAATTTATAAGTTTAATATTTAAAAAAAAAATTAAAGTCTCACATCGATTGAAAATAAAACAATTAAAGAGTATATAAGTTGGGGCAACACTTACCTTATAAGTTGATTTGTATGGTTGAGTGTTAGGCTTATAATTTACAATCTTAGAATTTAAAAGATTATGTATCACATGTTGGAGGCGTGAAAACAAATGTTTCGGATGAATTCATTGTGAGTATTTGAAAGTTGAAGAATTATTGATAGAATTTATAGTAATTTCTTTAATTTTTTTCGTAAAAAATATTCTTGCAGGATTTCTTGTGAAAAAATTCGCAGGAAACTTTCTTGCGAATTTTTTTTGTAGGAAACTTTCTTATGAATTTTTTTCGCAAGAAATTTCGCAGGAAAATTTATTACGAATTTTAAAATTCATAAAAACATATTATCTACGAAGGTATTACCTATAAATAAAATTTCGCAGAAAAATTTGTATGAACAGTTTTTTGCAAATTTTCCATAAAAATTGCAGGAAAAGTCGCATGTAATAACAGAAGTTCTAGTAGTGTTTAATGAGGTTATCTTTGTTGGAATTCATGATGTTGGGATGCTAATAAGAAATACTCCCTCCGGTTTTTTTTCGTAGTCGTTTAAGGTTTTGCACGGGACTTAAGGAAATTATTGATATTTTAGTATTCAAAAATATTTATTACTTACTTTCCTATTTTACCCTTTATTTTTTTTTGCATTTTTTAGACTGTTGAACTACTTCATTAAATAGTTGTCCCTTTTTTTTTGTTTTTCTATAGTATTTTGTTGGGAACATATTGCTCTTATAAATGCACATTAACTTTATATGAGTAGTTGGAGAAAAATTAGGTAGACATTAAAAATAAATACACACATTATTCAAGAAACATGTATTAATTATTAAGGGTAAAAATGAAAGAAAAAAATTAATAACTCATTGATTTTAGTAACATGACAATGAAAATAAAATAACAAACTCTGACAAAACGACTATGAAAAAAAAAATAGAGGGAGTAGTTTTTTGGTACTTTTGGCCTTCCCAATACTTATTCTCCCTGAGATTACTGGACTTCAATGTATAAAACTTCAATTTCTAGCTTCCATGTACACTTTGATCAAATTTGCATCTGTTTAAGGATCTCTAAAATATTTTTCTTAGATGGATTTTGATTTAATATTATGTAGCGTGTTTTCTTATTAGTGTTTAGTATAACATATTAATTCAAGACATACAAAGTGGTGTTGTCACTTTTTTTTACTTACTTTGTTGCACTCTTAAGGATAGTTAGGATCAAAGATTTGGTAAATACCATAGTTGTGCCTAATTGTGGTTTTACATTTGTAAAACTATGTTGTATGCCTCCAAACTTTGTTAGATGCCAATTTTAGCTCTTTAGTTTTTTAGGCTTTATTTGTAATTCTTATATGCTAAAATGTTTTTATTTTCTCAAATAAAACTATTACTTTATATTAGTTTATACTTTATTCTAGATGTAACATTGTCTTTATGATATATTCATAAGTAATTGGTACTATTTTGTCTTTACTAACTCTTTAAGAAACGTGTCTTGGTTGATGGGCAAATATCAAGTTATTTATTAGGATATCTGGGGTTAATGATTGCAATGGTTGTAGAAGAAGATGGTCAATCACCTTATCAACCTACGACACTATAATAAAATAGACTTTTAATGGCATTTAATATAACTTTTAGTAGCAATAAAAATTGTTACAAAACCTTTTACCGGCATTTCACACATTAGCCATTGTATGCAGTGTCGCTAAAACATTTACCTACAATTATTCTATATGCTGGTAAATACCCTCATAATGGTCGGGAAAAGTGTATAATTTTTTGTGTTATTTGTTACTTGCATTTAAAATTGCCGCTAAAAGTTTAAGAAAAGATTTATCATACTTTTTAATTATCTTATTTCTAGTCGATGTAGGACTTGTAAGATGAGTACAAATACTCTTTAGTTACCTTATTTCTAATTGATGTGGGACTTAGAAGATGAAGGTTATCTTCTAAGTATATATTATTTAATTTTTTTAATTATCTTATCTCCTAAATACCAACTTAGAATAGTAAGTTATAGGCCTAACACAACCTTATAAAACATACTTGTAAGGTAAGAGTTATCATTCACTTATATACTCTTTAATTATTTTATTTCTAGTCGATGTGAGACTTAAGTTTTTTTTAACAAATAATTGTCACTAATAGTAAATTTTGATATGATGTAAATATATTTTTAGTGGCCATTATATAATAGTCATTAATATTTTTATTAAATAATAAATTAGAGACAATTAATTTATTGTCATTAAATAATTATCGGTAATACTAAATTTTGTTGTACTACGAATTAGGCATGACAATCTAACTCGTCCCTGTGAGTATCTGCCCTAACCCGCTCCGATTTGGACAGGGAAAACCCGTGTTTATCGGGTTCGGGTTTGGGTTTGGGTTTCCCCAGGGACGGAGCCAGGATTTCAATACTGGGGGTGCCATATAGGGGGTGCCATATAGTAATATACATATGAGTTTATATTAAAAATATGAGTTTATATTAAAAATAGGGGGTGCCATATAGTAATATATATGTATATAAAAAAAATTAAAATTGTTGGGGGGGCCGTGGCACCCGTAGGTCCCCCCTTGGCTCCGTCCTTGGGTTTCCCCCGATTGATAAAATCGGGAGCAGGGGCGAGGACGGGGATGTTAATACCCACCCCGCCCTTGTCCCCGCCACGCTTAATAATATAATTAAAAAATTATTTATATATATATATAAACCAAAATTAGAAATATTTATATGTAAAAAATTTATATTATTTTTCTTTTCTTTTATTTTATTAAAATTGTTCATATTTATTTAAAAGAAAAATAAAAAAATAGGAGCGGGGGCGGGGGCGGGGCGGGGAAACCTGAACCTTGCTGAGGGCGGGGATGGGACTTAGATTTTACCCCCAACAGGTATCGGGAGTGGGGAACGTAAAACCCGCCTCTACCCCGCCCCGTTGCCATGCCTAGTGCGAATGAATGGGAGTGGTATGAAAAAAATAAAAAGTAACTTTAAAAAAAAGACTAAATTATAAAATGTTTTCTTATAATAAATTAAATGCATATTTTATTATAAAATTATTGACAAGTGTAACTCTTTAATTGGTCGGAGAATATTTAGTCCCATGCGTTTAGAGGACATAATATTTCTCTTGTTTAAACTAAAAAGAAAATGGTTATAAAAAAATATTTTCTAAATAAATAGATGAGAATTGTTTCTTAAAAAATAATTAAATTAAATTAAATTATCGTTAGATGTAATTTTGTTAAAATAATTAGGTCTTCACAGTTTAAAACACACTTAAAAACATGTTTATACTTTAAAAATATTGTAATTAAATATTGCACTTAATAATGTTGGTAAAATTTATTAATTTATGCTGATTAAGTATTGTTATATAATAATTTACCTAATTAATTATTTTTTATTTTATTTATTTTAAATGTTTTTAATTAAATCCCTGATTTTAATATGTTAATTATACCAAAATTTCCTTTCACGTTTATATTTAAATTATATTTCATTTTAGGGTTTAAATAATGTAAATTGAAAAATAGGGTTAAAATAAGATTAACATAAACAACTAATGAAGTAAAAAGTAGAGCAAGTATGTTAACTATGACCATCAATGACTATATATAAAATTAGGTGTTAGAAAGCCACCTGAGTGGTGTTGGCCTTTCCTTTTGTTACTTTGTCAACTAGTTAAACAATTTCACTCATAATTGTTAGTTCTATGTTTCTTGAAAACTTAACAGAATATTACAACAACAAAGCACTTACAGAAGTTTCCACATGATGAAGGCATCCGCCGCTGGGGCCCACATGGACAACATATTGGCTACATTAAATACAAAAACATAGATATGTTAACCAAGATGGTTTCATAACTGTTCAAACACTTAAAATAAGATTAACATAAACAACTAATGAAGTAAAAAGTGGAGCAAGTATGTTAGCTATGACCATCAATGACTATATATAAAATTAGGTGTTAGAAAGCCACCTGAGTGTTCTCAATTATATGACCCTCTTCATCTCGCAGTCTGCAACACAAGTACAAGAAACTAAGCAGTGAAATTAGCATTGTCTAATACTATAGTTAGCCTCTAGCAAAAAATAAAACAACAATAAAACGTAGCATGCCTCTCGCATATCTTCACAACATTCGCACCAGCATCTGGCTCACATTTGCGTGTTTTAACATAATACTCTTCAGGTTTATATGGAACATCCTGCTAAGAACAAACTTTAACTTAATCATACAAAATATCAAATTATATCCACACTAATCGTCTAGCTTCCATTCGCTTTGAAAATAGAATCATCCAAAACCAAAAGAAAATGCTAGATTAGTTCTCAATAGTAACAATAAATAATTATTATCACTCATATAATCCAACATGTATATACAATTGCAAATATATATGTATTTGAATGCATCATACCGTGAAAAATTAGTTGAAAAGAGAGGCCAAAAAGGCTAATAAAGAGGAGTATCATACTCTTATGTAATGGTAAAACTTGATTCTGCATGTATTTGAATAATTTATTAATGTCATTGAATGCTCTTTTATTTATTTATTATTGATTATTGATGCTTTGGTTTGAATACTCATTAAATTATTTGGCATCTTGTTGATCATAATAAAGATCACATTAAATTTACCATTGCAACTTCATCATTTCAGAACGTAGATATATGTTGAAAGCTCGTGCATATGGGAGAAAAGAAACAAAGGGATAACCCACGTTACTCTTCCTTAACCAATTAGAAGAGTACTCCACAATTCAAAACCGTAACCACCCAAAAATGGCATTGCGTTCGTATGTCACCCTTATCATCTTCCTACTTTCTTTTTCCTTTCTCGCGTCTCATGTTGCTGGAACTCAAATTATCTCCAAATCCAAGTTGGAGAAGTGCGAGAAGAACTCCAACTCCGATAATCTCAATTGCACCACAAAAATTGTAGTCAACATGGCTATTCCCAGTGACTCGGTAAATCATTCTCATTGTCTTCAATTAAGTGAATTAGCCACGTTATGAATTGTATTTTCTCGTTTTTGAACTTGCTTTATGATGGTGTAGAGTGGAGGAGAGGCTTCAATTGTTGCAGAATTGGTGGAAGTAGAGGAAAATTCAACTAGAAAGATGCTGAAAAGGAAAAAGTAGAGCAAGTATGTTAACTATGACCATCAATGACTATATATAAAATTAGGTGTTAGAAAGCCACCTGAGTGTTCTCAATTATATGACCCTCTTCATCTCGCAATCTGCAACACAAGTACAAGAAACCAAGCAGTGAAATTAGCATTATCTAATACTATAGTTAGCCTCTTGTATTACTCACCCCAACCAAGTCTGTGAAGGATGTCTAAACAATTTCGATTGAGTTTTCCAAGGGAGTCAGACTCAAGAGCTCAAAAGCCATTAGAACTCATACACACAGATGTGTGCGGACCAATCAAGCCAAGATCACTTGGTAAGAGTAATTATTTCCTTCTCTTCATTGATGATTTTTCAAGAAAAACATGGGTATATTTCTTAAAAGAAAAATCAGAAGTATTCGAGAACTTCAAGAAGTTTAAAGCCCATGTTGAGAAGGAAAGTGGCCTTCTGATCAAAGCTTTGAGATCCGATCGTGGAGGAGAGTTCACATCAAAAGAGTTTCAGAAGTATTGTGAAGACAATGGAATTAGACGACAATTGACAGTGCCAAGATCGCCTCAACAAAACGGAGTGGCTGAAAGGAAGAATAGAACAATCTTGGAGATGGCAAGAAGCATGCTTAAAAGTAAAAAACTTCCAAAGGAGTTTTGGGCTGAAGCTGTTGCATGTGCAGTCTATCTAACCAACCGCTCTCCAACAAGAAGCGTTAGTGGAAAAACACCACAAGAAGCATGGAGCGGTAGAAAACCAGGTATTTCTCATCTTAGAGTCTTTGGAAGCATAGCTCATGTGCATGTGCCAGATGAGAAACGAAGTAAACTTAATGACAAAAGTGAAAAATACATCTTCATTGGTTACGACGCCAACTCCAAAGGGTATAAACTCTATAATCCTGATTCAAAGAAAACAATCATCAGTCAGAATGTAATGTTTGATGAAGAAGGAGAATGGGATTGGTCGACAAATTGTGAGGATCATACCTTCTTCCCGTGCGCTGAAGAAGATGACGTGGAACAACAACAACAACCGCAAGAGACACCTACTACTCCACCCACTTCACCAAATACAACCCTTCAAGATTATGAAAGCTTAAGTGAAAGAATGCCACGTTTTCGAAGTCTCCAAGAAATATATGAGGCAACCGAAAATCTAGACAATGTTACCTTATTCTGTCTATTTGCAGACTAAGCCCATGAACTTCCAAGAAGCAATTGAAAAGAAGAGTTAGAGAAATGCAATGGATGAAGAGATCGAGGCAATAAAGAAGAATGATACTTGGGAGCTAGTCTCGCTTCCAAAAGAACACACAGCAATTGGTGTCAAGTGGGTCTACAAAGCAAAGAAGGACTCCAAAGGAGAAGTTCAGAGATACAAAGCAAGATTGGTAGCAAAGGGCTACAGTCAAAGGGCTGGCATCGACTATGACGAGGTATTTGCTCCTGTTGCTAAAGAAGAGTTGGAGAAATGCAATGGATGAAGAGATCGAGGCAATAAAGAAGAATGATACTTGGGAGCTAGTCTCGCTTCCAAAAGAACACACAGCAATTGGTGTCAAGTGGGTCTACAAAGCAAAGAAGGACTCCAAAGGAGAAGTTCAGAGATACAAAGCAAGATTGGTAGCAAAGGGCTACAGTCAAAGGGCTGGCATCGACTATGACGAGGTATTTGCTCCTGTTGCTCGACTAGAAACTGTTAGACTTATTATATCATTAGCAGCTCAGAATAATTGGAAGATACATCAAATGGATGTCAAATCTGCCTTCTTAAATGGAGTTCTTGAAGAAGAAGTCTACATTGAGCAACCACAAGGATATGAAGTTAAAGGAGAAGAAGATAAAGTCTTGAGATTAAAGAAAGCTCTTTATGGATTGAAACAAGCTCCGAGAGCTTGGAATGTTCGGATTGACAAGTACTTCAAAGAAGTGAATTTCATCAAGTGTCCATATGAGCATGCACTCTATATCAAAGCTCAAGGTAAAGATATTTTGATTGTATGCTTGTATGTCGATGACTTGATCTTTACAGGGAACAATCCAAGCATGTTTGAGGAATTCAAGAAGGATATGACCAAGGAATTTGAAATGACCGACATGGGGCTTATGGCATATTATCTCGGAATTGAAGTAAAGCAAGGAAACGAAGGAATTTTTATTACTCAAGAAAGCTATGCTAAAGACCTCCTCAAGAAGTTCAAACTGGATGATGCTAATCTAGTTGGCACTCCTATGGAATGCGGCATCAAGTTCAGTAAGGATGAAGAGGGAGAAAAGGTGGATCCAACCCTCTATAAAAGTCTTGTTGGAAGTCTGCGCTATTTAACTTGTACAAGACCAGACATTCTCTATGCCGTTGGAGTCGTGAGTCGGTACATGGAAGCTCCAACAACTACTCTTCTCAAGAAAACTTTCTCTCTTACCCTTTATGAGAGTCATTCTTCTTACCATGTTAACAAGTGGATACATGATATTTTGAATCGGAGAGTCAAAGAGATTTATATCCATTCAAGTAAAAAATACAAATTTTTATCGCATTCCCTTTTGGAAACCATGTCCTTAGAGATATTGGTGCTGAAGATGAATGGTTGTGATATAAGAGTTCCCACTATTGTTTCACTTTCATACCTCACTGTCCTCGAACTATCTGGAATCACGTTTACCTGCAAAACTTTTAATGACTCGGAAAAGCTGATTAACCTCCCAGTTCTTAGAAAATATGAGGCAGAAAATTGTTCTTGGTTAAACGTAAAGGGTGGTGTTACTTTTGAAGTGCCTCTACTTGAAGTGCTTTTGATAAAGCACACACTTGTGTCGAAACCCCATGAGTCGCACACTGTGGTTAAGTTTTGTGCCCCTCGTCTTAATGATTTCACTTATAGTGATTTTGTGTTACGATACACCGTTTTGTTAGATTTAGACTTATCTACAGCACGAATTGTTGCTGCGAATATTCATCTGATCAAGTTGAGCGAAGACAGCGAGGAAAACATGGCCACTTTTGCTTGTGAAGTTCTGAAACAATTTAATAACAATGTCGAACGTTTAAAGCTTGAGGTTTCGAAGGTATATATGCTTTATTTCATTGCTCTTGGTTTGCAATGATATTTAATAATGATATGAATATATTTCCTTGTTGGTTAAAAATATAGGAACATTTTACTTTGCTATTGCTATATCGATTGTCTTCTGTTATTTTATGAGTGTTTGTTTGTCGGATTTTGTAGAACATGTATGATTATCATCTATCTCCCGTCCGTGTTCCTGCTTTGACCGATCTTGATGATTTTGGAATGTTGAATCGTCTGGAGCTTGTTCGTGAAGTTACTGGTGAAGTTTTGTTGGACTTTCTTCAAAAGTCACCATTTCTTGAGACCCTTGTAATTTTTAAGGTTGGTAATATTGATTGAATGTAGCAAATCGATACACTAGGTTCGGCGTAGTAGAAAGTGTTGGATTAGTATTTATAAGATCCTAATGTATAAATTAACATTAAAAAAACTATTATTTTTTATTGTAATTTTGACTGGTCAAGAAAAAAAATTAGTTTAGATCACATAATACATAAAATTTGGTATAGTGATTAATTATGTGATCTCAAATTTGTCTTTACTCGATAACTTTAAAATAATGCGTGAGCCATGTTTAATACATTAAGAAAATTAATATATTATATATAAATGGTTAACTATATCCTCCCAAAAGAAACTTGTGATAACTACTGTTTTGTTTTTTTAATTATAATTTTAATTGTTTAATTTATGTGTGTTATGTTATTTTATTCCTTGTGATACAATTTAACTAATTATTTTTGTTGAACACCAGGTAGTTGAATTTGACGAAGAGTTCTCGAACCCTGATAACGTGCCATTTTGTTTTATATCTAACCTTCAAGTGCTAAAACTTGGACATTTTGATGGTAATGAGCAAGAACTACGTTTCATCAAATTTGTAATGGAAAACGCTCAAG